AGTGGAGCCACCATGCCAGCCATGAACTGTCTACCTCTGGACTTTAACATGAGAAACAAACAAGATGTTTAAGCTACTATTCAATTGAGCCTGCTATCCACAGCCAAACCTAAACTTACATGACACAGGGGGCTTTAACAGTATTCAAGGGGCGCCTGGGTGGCTCAGTCAGTTAGGTGTCCGACTTTGGCTCAGGTCACGATCTCATGGTTCATGAGTTCGAGCCCCACATCAGACTCTGTGCTGACAGCTCAGATCCTGGAGACTGCTTCAGATTCTGTGTGTGTGTGTATGTGTCTCTCTCTCTGCCCCTCCCACTCATGCTCTGTCTCTCTCCATCTCTCAAAACTGAATAAATGTTAAAAAAAAATTTTTTTTTACATATTCTAAAGTGAAGGGTTGCAAGAGATATTCTGAAGGAATTGTTAAGATTTGGTGACTGGCTCCATCTAAAAAAGAAATTATCAGTCATATCACATACAAAATACTTATTGTTTAATTCTTCCTGTCCTTATTAGAGAGTTCACAACTACTTAGTGTTTGCACTGTTTTTACATTGAGATGTAATTGACATGTAGAATTATGTTAGTTTCAGGAGTACAACATAGTACTCCATAGTGTATATATTGCAAAATGATCACCACAGTAAGTCTAGCTAACACCTATCACCACACATCATTACAGTTTTTTCTTGTGTTGAGAACTTAAAAGATCTACTGTTAGCAACTTTCAAATACACAATAGAGCATTAGTAACTACAGTTGCCATGCTGCACATTACACTCCCATGACTTATAACTAGAAGTTTCTACCTTTTGACCACCTTTACCCATTTTGTCCACACACCCGGCCCCACTCACACTCCAAAATCCCAGCCTGGTATCTGCATATTTAACGAATGTGATAAAAACTACAGAAGAGATGGGGGGGAGGGGGGCCTGGGTGGTTCAGTCGGTTGAGTATCTGACTCCTGATTCCAGCTCAGGTCATGTGATCCCATGGTTCCTGGAATCGAGGCCTGCACTGGGCTCTGCACTGTGAGTGATCCTGCTTAAGATTCTCCCTGTCTCTCTCTCTCCCCCCTCCTCTCAAAATAAATAAACATCTTAAAAAATATTAGAGATCAGAAAGTGCCAAGCAAACTTCCTTAAAGGAATGAAAAAACCAAAAACACTTTAGTAAGTAAGACCTATTGGTAAAGCTGTCCTCAAACCTGCTAGTTTAGATTATTTTGACTAGAAGTAAGTATTAGGTAGATTTCTTACACACTGTTTGCATGCAGTTTTTAAGCAGGAGTTCAGAGCATTAAGCGACACTAAGAAGCTCCCAAGGGGAAACCAGCTGAAGAGCAAGAGTAAATACTGAACAACTCCCCTTACGCTTCCTGAGAGGCGGTAAGCTGAAACACACCGCCACCAGAGCCAGCATCTCCACACCCCCACACGGTCCCGCTGAGGCAGCCAGAAGCACACCAAACCAGAGATCTTCCCGAAGTCCTATCTACCTCCAACATTCACTCTTCTCCTGGTCCTGGTTAAGGGAAAGCAGCCCCAGCCACACACACCCCCCTCCCCCCAACCTGTTCAGCTCAAAGCCCTTTTCAACCAACCAGGTCACAGAAGGCCAAGTTGAGAAGGGGCCTCAATCCCAAGTCTGTCAGGAGCTCATTCTTCCTGAATGTCCTCTCACTTTAAGAGCTTCCTGTTGAATTGAGGGTGCGTCGATCACCCCCTGGGTCAGAGAGCCTTCTCACTCGGGGCATGGGGACCGTCACTGCCCCAGCCTGGCCTGTGACTTCAAGCAGCTGCTGGGCGTTACACACACTCTGATCACAAGTACACAATACTCTAAAACCATGAACATAGAGAGACCAAAACGAAATACAGAAAACCTTTACATGTTGTTACATTGCTTTTACACTTAATCACTTCTAAACGTCTCATTTTACCAAAGGCTACACTGCAAGTACACGGGTACTTCCCATATGCGTGCTATGGTCACTAAAAAGGAATATGGAGTGGTCCTCTCTACCACCAACCATTCCCATATCCTACAAAGTGAAAGATGACCCTTACATTGAATCTGTAGTAGCAAAAAAGATCACCTCACCTATTTTCCGAAGTCTCAGCAAAATGCCCCCAAACAACCATGGCAGAAAGAATAACAGCCCCCAAAGATGTCCCTGTCCTAATCTATGGAAGCTGTGATTGTTATCTTACCTGGCAAAGGGGACTCTGCAACTATAAGTCAAGGACCTTCAGATGGGGGAGATTCTCCTGAATATCTACATAGGACTGATCTAATCATGTGGGTCCTTAACCTTTCCTTTTTTTTTTTTTAATATTTTTTACTTATTTCTAGGAGAGAGAGAGAGACAGCGTGAGCAGGGGAGGGTCAGAGAGAGAGGGAGATACAGACTCTGAAATTGGCTCCAGGCTCTGAGCTGGCAGTCAGCACAGAGCCCGACGCGGGGCTCAAACCCACGAACCGCGAGATCATGACCCAAGTGAAAGTCGGATGCTTAACTGACTAAGCCACCCAGGCGCCCCGTCCTTAACCTTTCCCAACTGTGACTGGAGAGATGCAATACTGCCGACGTTGAAGATGGAGTAAGAGGGCCATAGGCCTCTAGAATCTGGAAGAGGTAAGGAAACAGATTCTCCCCTAGAAAAGTCCAGAAAAGAACAGAGACTTGTTGACACACTGATTTCTTTTAGCCCAGTGAGACCCATTTTGGACTTCTACAATACAGAACTTTAAAAAAAAATTTTAATGTTTATTTTTGAGGCGCCTAGGTGGCTCAGTCAGTTAAGCATCCGACTTCGGCTCAAGTCATGATCTCACAGTTTGTGAGTTCGAGCCCTGATTTGGGCTCTGTGCCGAGGGCTCAGAGCCTGGCACCTGCTTCGGATTCTGTGTCTCCCTCTCTCTCTGCCCCTCCCCCACTTGTGCTCTGTCTCTCAAAAAGAAATAAATGTAAAAATATAATTTAAATGTTTATTTATTTTTGAGAGAGCAAGAGTAGAGGAGAAGAAAAAACATAGGGGTGGGGGACAGAGAATCCGAGGCTGGCTCCGTGCTGACAGCAGGAAGCCCAGCACAGGCTGAACCCGCGAACCACAAGATCATGACCCGAGCCAAAGTTGGACACTGACTGAGCCACCAAGCCACCCCTAAAATACAGAACTTTAAAAATAATGTGTTGTTTTTAGGACACTAAATTTGTGGTAATTTGTTACAGTAGGCATTGAAAGCTAATACACACACAGTAAACAACTTCTCACAATATGTGAAAGTATCTAGAAATTTCCCCAATATTTAGAACAGACATAAGTTACTTGTGCATATACATTTCACTTTTTTAAAAATTTGTGCATGTGTTATATTTTGCTTCTATTTTTTCCTGCTCTCACAAAATTCCATCAATTAAAATGCCAAGGTGACAATTCTTCAAACTTTTTGCAAAGGATGAACCATATTAACCAAGAAAGAGGAACAGTTAGGATACCAGGAACAACTGGAAAAAAATCAGGAAAAAATTATACAATATCTTTTTAGACAGTCAAACATCAAAGTCTTTGGACTGCATAATTCCCTTGTATCAAATGCATACCACATTTTAAAAAATAAGTCCTAAATATCGATATTAAGAGATTACTATTAATTTTTTTAGATGTGATCATTGTATGTGGGTATAATAAAAAGAGAGTGACTCAACCTTCTACAAATATACACTCAAATATTTACATATGAAATGGTATGCTTATGACCTGCTTTAAATCAGTAAGGGGGCAGGGCACCTGAGTGGCTCCATCAGTTGAGTGATCCACTCTTGATTTTGCCCTGGGTCATGATCCCAGGATATTGGCATTGAGCCTGAAGTCTGGCTCCGTGCTGTGTGTGAAGCCTGCTTGGGATTCTCAATCTCTCTCCCTCTGTCCCTCCCAACTCACTCACTCTCCTTCTTGCTAAAATAAAGAAAATAATAATATAATAGTTTGGGGGCGTCTGTGACTGGGTGGCTCAGTTGGTTAAGCATTTGACTCTTGATTTCAACTTAGGTCATGGACTCAAAGTTGTTACACTGAGCCCCACTGTTGGGCTGCACAGTGGAAAAGGACTCTGGCTAAGATTCTCTTTCCTCCTCTCTCTGCCCCTCTGCCCACCCGTGTCTCTTTTACTTCTTTTTTTCTCTCTCTCTCTCAAAAAACAAATATAAAATAAAATAAAATAAAATAAAATAAAATAAAATAAAGGACGCCTGGGTGATTCAGTCAACTGAGCGGCAGACTTCTGCTCAGGTCATGATCTCATGGTTGGTGGGTTCAAGCCCCGCATGCTCACAAACATCTGGGCTAACTTCCCACCCTTTTTCACCTTTCCGTTAAAACACAATTGCTAGCTGCCAGGGAGTGGGAAAGGGAAAAATAAAGAGTGACTGTATAATGGGTATGAGTTTCTTATGGGTGACAAAAATGTTCTGAAATTAGACAGTTGCACAACCCTGTGAATATGCTAAAAACCACGGAGTTATACTTTAGTTGTACTTTTAAAGGGTGAATTTTATGGTAAGTCAATTACATGTCAATAACAATGTATATGTCCAAAAAATCAACCCTATTGCTGACCCTGCCCATCACACGCCCATTTGTCAGACCCACATCGCCCCATTTCTCCAAGCATCTACTTGCTCTTCGATATCCCCCCAACTCTTAACACGACTCAGACAGACGTCCCTCTCACACTCTTGACTGCCACTGAGTGCCACTGTTCCCTGGAAGGGGGCGGGGAGGAGGGAAGACGCGGGCAGTTCTTGAGGCCCAAGCACAGACAGCCCCTCCAGGGTGGCCCAGTCCCCCACTGTCAGGAAGAAACCCTCTACCCCGCCCTGGCGAAGAGGCCCCACCGACTGGAGGATGTCCTCAAACCCGCTCCGACACGGGGCTGGCGGCCCCGCCGGATTTTCAGGGCCGCTCCGATGGGGGCGGCGCCAGAGCCCACCTGTCTCAGGCGGCGGGCAGATCCGCTTCCAGCTCCGCCGACACGCAAGCGGGTGGCAAAGAGAGATCGGAAGAAGCCGCTGTCGCCGCCGCAGCCGGGGTGGCGCACGCCGGCTCAGGCCTCCATGTTTCCACGTCTCTGCGGCTCCGACTCCGGCTCGACTCCGGCTCGGTTCCCGCCCCGGCAGCGTCCGTGCGGAGGCCGGGAGGCGGGGAGAGAAGAGGGAAGCGTCAGAGAACGCTGCTAGCGACCGAACAGCCGGGCGCGCCCCGGCCGACGGTCACGTGGCGCACGGCGCGCAGACTTCTGGGAAATGTAGTCCTTCAGCCGTTGAGCGTTTCTCCACCCACCTAGCGCGTCCAGGGCAACCGCAAAGCCACGTGGCAAATTCGAGAAGCGCCTAAACGCACTACCTACAGACTGTTGGACCCCTTACCGTGCTCCAGGTGTTCTGGTGGCTCAACTATTTACCCCAGCTGGATGGAAGGCCAGCTCACCGTCAAGCAGTTCCTTGTACGGCTCTGAAGAATTGGGAAATAGGAAAATTATTTATCTTTTGGGGTTTTAAAAAAATTTTTTATCTATCTTTATTCTTTTCCAACTCTTGTGTCAAGAGCTGACTTTTGGAAAATAACTTTTGATGGAGGCAGGTAGCAGATCTATAATTACCTGCACTATTTACAGAAAGGGCATCTCCCATGGGAAAGAGTATCCATCCATACAGTGCAGGGGCCAAATTTTGGAATTTGAAGTCAAAAGAGCTAAAGACCACATCAACGTCCATCCTTGAGCTTTTCACGTCAGTTTCCTCTTAAATACGTAGAAGATGATGACGATGATTCTTCCCATACAGGACCATTGGCAAATCAATAACAATAATTAAGAACTCCCATTGTGAGTTGTTTTCTATGTGCTATGCACTGTTAACTGCTTTCAACAAATAACGCTGAGATAAATATCACTTATTTCCCTTTTATAGTCAGCATGTCAGACGTACTCTTGTTGTGCCTGATTCGCGAGTTCCCAGAGACCTCCAAGGAGCCGACACCTATGCAAATACAAAAGGGTCTTTATTACAAGCTCGAGCAGGGGCTCATCTGCCTACCGGTGTCGTGGCAGCAAGATGAAGCCAAAAACAATAGCGAATAGGGTTTTTAAGGAGTAAGGGATGGGGGTGTTACAGTACATGTAGCATCATCACATAAGCACCAATTACAATTACAGCTTTGACCATTTAGTATCTGTGAGGTGTTCATTACTTTTGGTGGGACCCAATCATGACTTTTGAGAATCCTTTGAAAATGACCAATTATGAGGTGAGTTCAAAGGGCCCACGTGGGGTTCAGGCAAGCGGTGAGAAATTGGCTAGTTTGTATCTGCAGTTCCCAGCCTTGACTCAGACCATAGGAACGTTTTTTGATTAGCTGAACTGAGGGCAGTCTGAGGATGGCTTTAGCCTTGAACAGTCTGAGATTGGGACTGGGATTGGGGCTATGTGCACCCCAAGGTTTCTCTTAATGGAAGACTTAATTTTTGACTCTTTACTCTGAGAAGTACCATACAGATATCAGGTATACTTTTCTAGCATCTATTACCAATAAATTCCCTGGGCTGTCAGGATTATTACAGAAAAACATACTAACACACAAGGTACCTTGGAGTCTCCCTAAAAAAAAAAGGTGGGCACTGCTATGCAGCCGTTGTAAAGAATGCTAGGATGCATGTTCATGATCTATCCAGTGGAAATAGTATGTATAATCTTATCCAATTTTCATAAATGAATTATGTTTATGTTTATAATACACACACACACACATCCCCGGGGGGGAAAGACTAAAAGAATATTAATTATTAACTTTGGGGTATGAGATTGTGTGTGATTAAATTCAGTTGTTCCCTATTTTCTATTTTTTCTGCGATGAATATGAGTTACATGTATAATTTTATAATTTTTATTTTAAAATTATAGTGAAAGAGAGGTACCAAACCCAAACTCAAAGTACTTTCTATTTTTGCCTATACCTAAAATTATGCCTTCTACCTACCCCAAAATGACCAAGCAACAAATGTGAGTCTCTCTCCAGAACTAGCGCTAGAGACCAAGAAACAATTAATTCTACTTTGAGACAATCCTATTATTAAATTTAACATCCTCCTTTTTTTATAGGTTTTGGCTGGCTTGAAATAAAAAGGGTCTTACCAGTGTTGGGCAAACGTCATAAATCAGCTATTTGATTAGGAATGGTTATCTCAATAGATGAAGCATGAATTGGAGTAACAGTCCTTCACTATTTATTGCGCATGTAAGCTGCTAAGTGTTATCCTTGGTCATCAGCTCCCAATACTGCCGGAGCCATTCTCATGATAACTTTCACTTGATTACATCAGTGTCTAGTTGGTGCAGAAACACTGCCAGAAAGTCATGAAAACCCTGCTACTGACTGCAAGTGGATGTCTGGGTCAGATCCTAGAACCAGAAAAGGCAAGAGTGGGAAAATTTATGAAATCTGAACGAAGTCTGGAGTTTAGTTATTGGTATTGTACCAATGTTAATTTCCTTGTTTTGACAAATGTGTTATGGTTATGTAAGACATTAACATTAAAGCAAACTGGGTGAAAGATATACAGGAACTCTTTACCTCGCAATTCTTCTGTAAATCTAAAATTATTCCAGGGGCACCTGGGTGGCTCAGTCAGTTAGGCATCCAACCATTGATTTTGGCTCAGGTCATGATCTCACGGTTTATGAGACTGAGCCCTGCGTCAGTCCCAGAGCTGGCAATGCAGAGCCTGCTTAGTATTCTCTCTCTCCCTCTCTCTCTGCCCCTTCTCTGATCAAATGCGGTCTCTCTCTCTTTTTTGTTTTTAATTTTTTTTTTTAACGTTTATTTATCTTTGAGAGACAGAGAGCGAAAGAGCATGAGCAGGGGAGGGGCAGAGAGAGAGGGAGACACAGAATCTGAAACAGGCTCCAGGCTCTGAGCTGTCAGCACAGAGCCTGACGCGGGGCTCGAACCCACAAACTGTGAGATCATGACCTGAGCCGAAGTCGGACGCTTAACCGACTGAGATACCCGGGCGCCCCCCCGCCCCTCACACACACACACATGCACAAAATAAATAAACATTTAAAATTATTCCATGTGGTAGGCAGAATAATGGTCCTGCTGAAGATATCCACATCCTAATCCCCCAAACCTATGAATATATTAGGTTACACGGCAAAGAGTTGCAGATAGCATCAGGTTGCTAATCAGATGACCTTCACACAGGAATTTATCTGGGATTATCAGGGTGGACCTAATGTAATGAAAAAATGAAAAGTGAGAGGAAGCCAAAAGAGAGTCATAAATATGGCTCTGCAAGGTCACGTGAAGCAATGTGAGGATCGGTAATTGTTGGCTTGGAAGAGACAGGGGCGTGCCCTGTGGCCCTAGCTGCTGGAGAAGACAAGAAAACAGATTCTCCCTGGAGCCTCCAGAAGGGAACACAGGCTTGCCAATACCTTGATTCTAGCTCAGTGAGAATTGTGTCAGACTTCTGACCTACAGAACTAGGAGATAATAAATTTGTGTTGTTTAAGCCACTAAATTTGTGGTAACTTATTATAACAACAACAGAAAATGAACAGATTCAAAAATATAAAGTTTAATTAAGAAAGAAAACTTTCCGAATTGCTGCCTGTTTCTCCTCCTCCTCCTCTTCCTTCTCCTTTTCTTTTAGTGTTTACTCATTTTTGAGAGAGAGAGAGTGACCGGGGAAGGGGCAGAGAGAGAAGGAGACCCAGAATATGAAGCAGTCTCCAGGCTCCACACTGTCAGCACACTGGGCTCAAACTCACAGACCATGAGATCGTGACCTGAGCCAAAGCTGGATGCTTAACCAACTAAGCCACCCAGGTGCCCCTAGAGCTCCAGTTTCTTCTGATGAAAACACTTAGCCACCATAGAGGCTCCAACCCCCTGACCTGATCTAAAAGTAATTACCTCCACAAGGCCACACCTCCTACTGTCACCCCATGTAGGATTCGTTTAAATATAGGACTTTCAGGGAAACACAAACACACAGTCCATCACAGCTCCTTGACTCCTCTGAGCCTAGTTTTTTTCTCTGTAAAGAGGAGACCAGAATATCCCCCTCACATCTCATAGTTGCAATGAGAATTAAGTAATGCATGTAGCATGCCTTTTTCAATAAACATGATTTCACCGGTGTAATCCGGATGGCAATCAACTCCCATGTTGTCGTCGCCAGTCTCCGGGCATTCCTCTGAAAAGAGGTATAGATTAACCAGAACTAGATCATCTGGGCAGGACAATCAGGATGGTGAGAGGTCTGAAAATCTTGTCAGATGCAGCATGCCTGGCGGAACTGAGTAGAACAATGAGACTCGAAATTCATAACTGTTCTCAAGGAGACATGACCAGACTTGTTTTATGTTGTTCCAGGGCACCAAACTAGGACCAAAGGTTTGAAGTGCTAGGATACAGATTTCAGCTCCACCTAAGAACTTTCTGACAAGAATATCAGGACTAATCATTAACAATTCACATCATGGCCTGTTTGCCATGAACGGTGCACTGTGATTTTATTTGCATCTCCAAACAAAAGGGTTGGTGTAGAAACTAATGACTTGGAAAGCACTTCACAATAGTTTGTTAAGTAGAAGTCAGCTTACTGATAGTGAAATTGTCCACCTGGAAGAAAATGAGACTCCAATTCCTCTCCATGTGTTCAGGCTGAGTCTGGTTGAACAGGGAGACAAAATTACAACTGGGAAGGAACATTGGCAATTAATCAAGTCCCTTCATCTGACAGATGAGGAACTGAGTGCAAGGGCCGCATGAAAATTCAGACAAGGACACACAGCCCGTAAGCTGATGGTGGGATGAAGCATTTTCTACAGCCTTACCGAAGCCCCAACAATACTAGGTATTAGCAGCCCGTCAGACACTGCCGCGCATAGTGTTGAATGCTCAGAAGGCAGTGACTCCACTGTTCAAGGGAGTTGCTTGGCCGAGTGAGAGGCTACCCAGTTAGCCTTCCGATCCCTTCACACCCACCTGTAGCTCAGCTACACATCCATGCCGTGCCTACAGGGTCCCTGCTCATCTTTCCTTATTTATCCTGAGCTCTGAGGCTAAGCTGTGGGAGAAAGAAAGGCTTGGGCCAGCCAGACCACCACGGCTCCTGATAGCTTTCCTCCTGAGAGGAGCTCTCCAGGGCTCTGCTGCTGGAGAAACCTGGGGGAGGAGGCAC